AACTCCTACTGGCTCTATCTGTTCCTCTCCAGATCCTGAGTGAAAACAGATCATCTTCCAGGGGAAGGAGCATCCAGGGAGCGATTGGGCCTCCTTTGTCCCTGGCTCTGATTCATGTGGCATTTCTGGTGCCCACCCCCCAAGGTCCCTGCTGGCAGGAGAGCTGTGCCCAGTGCCAGTCCAGAAGGCCGTCTTGGCTGCAACATTGTCTCGGAGGGAGGTGGGCACCGTGGCCCAAAGGCCACAACCAGACCATCCCGGCCCCAGTCTCTTTGGAGACAATCGCGGGGCCTTTATTTATTTATCTAATTTGTAACTTCCCATCTCTGAGCAACAACACTAAAATATCTCAAATCATGGTCAGGAACAGACTTTATAAACATTTTAAAAACCATGAAAGCTGTTTCTCATTGGAAGAGAATTCATCAGGAGAAAGTGAAGGTAGATGGGGGGGGGCACCCATTGGCCATCTTTTGCAGGGGGGTGGGGTGGGCTTCCTTCGTCCTTGCGGCTGGGCCCGTTCTTCCCGCGCCCCTCTTGAACACCACAGCGACTGAGGGACGCCTGCAGCCTCCGGGCGTCTCTTCCTGGCGAACAGGCGATTCTTCCGCTCCCGCTCAGGTGGCCGCCATAAGGGGACAGCGAGGGGGAACAAAAGGGACGGTTGCCATGGCAACAACACCCCGCAGCCCCGCGGCAAAGCCTCTCCAGCGCCAAGAGCCAAGTCGGCCGACTTCGGGACCTTCGGAGTCCGAGGAGACTTTCGCGTCGGCTTCAGTTTTCCAATTGCTGTAACGCCACTCCCTGCCTCTGGGGGGCAGTGCCAAAACCAGCTGTAGCTCTTCTGTCCGCTACTCTATCATTCCGGGGTCGGGGGTGCTTGCCTTTCTTAGGCTTGCGGGGCGGAGGAAGCCAAACTACGTTTCCCAGACTTCCACGGGGCAGTCACAAGGGCGCTTCCTTCTCGCCCCACCTCGCTTGCTTTCTTTGGGCAGCCTGTCTGAAGTCCACGGCGCGTACGCGTGTAGGCTCTGGGTAGAGTCTTGCCTGTGCCTCCCTGGCTCCTTCTCGTCTCTCCTCCTCCCATGTCCCCCCCCACGCCCTCCTCTCTTGCTGAAGCTTGGCCTAAGTCGGGCTGCCTGCGAAAGGGGGAGGCGCGACTCCGCTTTGCATCAAAGGCCCTCTTGGCTTTCCCGAAAGTTGGAGCCGCAGCACGGGGGGGGGGGCAGGGGGCGGGTTGCTTTCCGCTTAGGAGGCTGACTTCATACCCCCCCCCCCCAAGACATCTCCCTTTCTTCTTCCACGCGGCTGTTAGGCTTTGTAAGCCTAAGGCTGCAATGCGGGGGCGGCATCCTACAAGTCTTGGGTGCGGAAGGGTCATTGAGGGCTGCCTGGTTGCGTGGGGGTCTCGCGGCCTCCCCCCCCCGCCCCCCCCCCCCCCCCCCCCCCGCCCCCCCCCTCCTGTGCTGGCAACGCAGGGTCGCTG